GAGGAGCTCTCGCAACTCTCAGCGCGCAGCAAGGCGATGATGCCATGGTCACGGTGAGCCGCCGCCCGTCCCGGCCCGGCCCCGCCGCGCGCTACGTTGGAGGCATTTCGCTTTTGGATAAAATCGGAGCCGCACGCGTCCACCGCCATAGGAATCCGGTGCGCCTTTTTCATTCCAACGAAAAAAAAAAAAAAAAAACGATTTCCCGGTCGTCTAAATACGAGCGGGACACCGGGACGTGCGCAATTCGCAGTGCAAAAGCGAAAGCAGGCAGGGGAACCGGAAGCCGCTAGAAGAAGTTCCCGTGGGACCCACCTTCTCCTCGCGGGTGGGGTCCCCTGGGCCACCAGCAGTGAGTTGGCCACATGGCCCGGCGCGCGTGCCGCGCGTTAGCTAGCTACGCTCTCATCTCGCTGAGCAGCGGGATGAGATGATCAGCTCTCACATGCTTTAGCTAGCTTATTACTACGGGAGTAGTGGTTCATTAGTCTAGACTTATTTACTGATCCCTATGCTCATTCCTTATTTTAAACAAAAAGGGGAAGAGAAGACCCCTGCGCAGAGGGAATGTCCATGCGGCGCTACTACGGTAAACAAGGAGTTGTTGGAGTGCTCGATCTGTAAACTCATTAATTTATAAATTCAGGCTTGGGCGGCCAAAGTTTACGCTTTTTAATCATCCCTTGGAATCTTCCGCTCTGGCACATTGCCGGGGGCAATTATATTACTTACTTTGTGTAACACTGTATCATGTGATTATTTATTTATTTATTTCTATTTCTACACCGTTCGATCGAGCGAGCTAGATTTTTTAAAAGAAAATACAAGAGAACGTCCTACCTCATCATCGCTTTTTTGAGTTAGCTACACTCCCTAGCTCGATGGATCCATGGAGTACTTTGTTGAGGGAGCTAGCTAGTGGGGTGCTAAATTAAATATATATCCCCAGCACGACAGATGGGTTTGCGTGTGCTCGTTGCTAATTTATGCTGGGGCTGTCTGCCTGCCCACGGCACCGGCCGTATTCATTAGCGTCTCATTTGATTTGGTTTTTTAGAGACGGAGAGAGCAATGTAATCGTCATGCTTGCATGTGAGTGCATGACTTCAATAATTCTGTTCAGCATCATCAGCATCAGCTAGCTACAAGTCGATCGGTCATCCTTTTTTGCTTTCCATTTTCTTGGTCATGTATATCACTCTGCCTTTTCATTTTTCAGAATTTTACATCCATTAAATATTAGTAGTGTCATACTTGATCGCGTATTCGCGTGGTATGTCCAGCACACAAATCTATCCTAGGCTATAACAGTGGCGGTGATGAATTCGATCAAGCTAGGTGAACATGACATTCGACGTCCCGTTCGACAAGAAATGAAATGAAAAAAGAAAAAGAAAACGACAAGACCCAGACGTGTTCACACGTTCTCAGTTTACTAGTACAGGGATCGGAGTGAATGAACAAACAAAGAAAAAGGCGAACACACAAAAGGGGCGGTGCACACACATGGGTGCCGCGATGCTAGCTATGCTGCGTGCGCGCATGATGGTGTTTGGGTGCCTGGCTGCCGTAGTGCCATGCATGGATGGATCTACTAAAGCTAGCTCCATCGCTCGAATTCTGTAAGCCAATACTTATGATAATAATTCGTTGCCGAGATGGATATAGTATTATACAGCTCCGACATGACAACTCATGCAAAAGTTGGAACAATTTGCTCTGCTTGCTGCATTAAATGTGCTAATGCTGAGATGAATCACACCACAATTGGACCAAATAGCTAGATATCGTTGGATATGCAGCTAGATATCGTTGGATATGCATGGTCGGGCGTACGGCTATGGCTTAGCGGGAATGATTAGCGCATCGCACTTTGCCTGACACGCAGACGGCGCTGTCCATCCTGCATTCCTGCAGCTGGTCTTTCTTCCCGCAGATATCTTGTTAGTAATTACTACTACGTAGTTTACTTGCTACTAATAACTTAGAAAAGGTCTTCCTGCAGCTGGTCCATCAACGTAACATGAACTTCACTGTACTCTGCACATGATGCAAATATATGCGAGCCTTTGTGGTGTAGTATAAGGATTGCGTTCTGGTGGTTACCACGAGCTTTTGTACTAGTGTCACACGAGCTCACGGAGAACTTACTGTATAAGACTGCAGGGGCCGAGCGCAGTGCTGCCTGGTGCATGCTTGTTGCTTGGCTTTTTTGCTGCTGGATCAAGCTCGGCTTTATCCGCAGCACGCACGTCAGTCGGCAGAGAGAGAGAGGCTCCACAGTCCACACCTCCTGTGACCTGCATGCAGATGCAGAGACGCAGACGCAGGTCATGCATGCATGCGGCATGCGGCATGCCCTACCGGGCGGGCTGGCCGGCGTAGGCCCGGGCGCCTCGCTCTTGCGCGTGGCACCTTTTCAGATCTCGCAGCAGTACGTGCCGCCACTGTTGGCACGTGCGCGCGTGTCAGGGCACACGTGAGCCGCGCCCGGCCCCTGCTGCTCGCGCCGCAGCGATTCCAGGTCCAGCGATGGCCCCCCGCGCGGAGGCGACGGGGGAGGTCGAGCTGGAGCGGCGGCCAGGCCCCGCCCGCGTCGAGGGCGTACGAGAGCGCGCGCTCGACCCGCTCACCCGACCGGCGCCGCGAGCCCGCGCGGCGGGATGTTGTTTGCGTGCGCTTGGTCGCTTGGACCTCCGACGTGACGGGTGCGGGCGCCGGGCGCGGCGGGGTCGTAGTGGCCGGCCGGGCCACCCCCCGTTCTGCACACGCGCACGGGCCCTTGTCTCCAAAGCGTTAGGAGCGTAGTAGTAGGTAGTTGCACGACCCCGGGGGGTCGGGGTGGAATGGAAGCAAGCATGCGTTTCACCGAGGGCGCCATTTCTCAACTTTTCCGCGCGAGTTAGGCCGGCACCCACTAGGAAGCAGCCAGCATATCGTTGCACGTGTTTCTTGTATACATGAGTCGTGCTTAGAAAACAACCAACGCAAGCGGATGGATGCGCACGCCCCGTCGTCGTCACTCGAATCGCGAACAGGTGACAAACGGACATGCGCGTGCCGCTCTAACGCACTTTAGGTGACAGCAACTGTACAGTCCACAGACGGGCACGCACATCGGTATTTCGAGAGGGAAGCTAAAAATAAACGACTCGCGATCGATTCATACACTCATTAGTGAATAATTTGCACGATGGTATTCAGATGGAGCAGGGAGATCAACACGGTCGCAGCGGTGATTGGAGCCGGAGGTCGGAGGGGCTGGAGCGGCGCATGTGCATGCCCCATCCAGACTGCGCCCGAGGCACGACACGGGCGCTAGACACGACGCCTGCCTGCCATCCTGCATGCTGATCCCCGGGAACCACAGTTAGGGCGTGTTTAGATGCAAAAATTTTGCATATTTATTCTGCCTAGCATGCTTTTCGTTTGTATTTGGTCCGCAGCACGCACGGCAGTCATGGAGAATTAGAGGCTCCACAGTCCACACCTCCTGTGACCTGCATGCAGATTAGACGCAGACTCGAAAGTTTCGGCATGCGGCATCTCGCGATTTCTCACCCAACTGCATGGCTGATTTTTTTTTCTACGCTTTGCGCACGTATCTGTGCAAGATTCGATGGGATGTGTTATGCGCAAAATTTTTTGGCGCACCCTTAGATCCACCTTTTTTTTCCCGCTCAGAATCATCGCGCGCGCGCCCGCCGGGTGCGCGCCTACGTACTAGACCGTAGACGCAGTCACGCAGCGGCTCGCGGCGCCTTTTTGTGTGCGGCCCGGGCTCGCCGTCACGACACGAGCCTCCGCACGGCACCGAACGCCGGGGCGCGACATGCCCACATCTCCACCACGCGCGCGCGGCCCGCTGACCAGGTGGATCCCCGCCCGGCGCGCGAGTACGTGGATCGTGGCGTGTTTCGACGTGGTCGTGCGTACGCGTGCTGCTCCATCGGATACCACCACACGATACGAGGCGTGGATCTTTCACCGAGGCTTTGCTTTGCTTCCGATGGTCGGTTTCACCGGATCCGTTCGTTTTACCGCCACCACGGATCGACAGCAAAGGCACAAGCAAGGAAAAGGCACGAGGGGCTGCCGTGGACGTGCCTCCTCGACGATTCTCCCGACTCCAATTAGTATTCGTTATTACCGGAAATGTTGTACGGCCAGTAACGAACTTTGTGATGTGTTGCAGTGCAGGCTGTTACCGTATCGGTCGCTCTTGTGAAAAAGGCACGATCCAAATCGTTTCTTCTCTTATCTATCTGATGAAGCTTTGATGAATGAAGCCATGAAAGGGAGACTTGGGAGCCATGGGAGGAGTGGCCTGGCCGAATCTGGAGCACATGACCCGGGTGGCCGTCTCCATCCACGGGATGCCCGCAATTCCCGGCCTCATGTGCCTCCCCAGTCCCCACCTCCCCAAATCGTCACGTGACCCCTAGTAGTCCGTCCCCATCCACGTCGGCCCCTCAAATCGGAAATTTAATCGACTAATTAACCCGCGTGCCCGGCGCGACCTCCCGCCTCGGGATTAACCCCAGAACTCGGCAGAGGAGCATCGGTACGGCGCCGCGGCGGGTGATTAGCCCATTTAACCAGAAGCCAGCACGTGCGCGCCGGGCCTGACGCAGGCGCCAAAGGAAACCGGGTGCGCGAGTAGTTGACCGCGTATAAAGGGTCTCGCGAGCGCTACCAGCAGCCGTAGCTGGTAAGTAGAGCATAGTGGAGGAAGGGAGAGGGAGGGAGAAGGCGAAGCGAAGCCAAAGCAAGGTCGGAGTCGGAGAGGGTGGGAAAGCTCTCTCGAGAACTCGCCGACGGGCGGACTCCCTTGCGCGCGCGCGGCTTCTTCCGGTGCGGTCGGCGGCCGACGGCGGAGGCGCGGAAGCTACTAGCCGAAGAGAATTGTGCAGCGAAGGCGGCGATGGAGGGGCGTTGCGATTGACGTGCGACGATTATGGGCATCCAAGGCACGTGCAAGCACGCGCGCATGCATGGGCATGGCCTTTGGTGTGATTGTGTGTGACTTTCGAGTCATTGGCGCGCGGAGGCAAGCGTGGATCGATCGCCTAACTCTCCTGTCCGCGCAGGGAACAAGGCGGCGACGCACGAGCACGACTTCCTCTCGCTGTACGCCGCCGCCGCCAAGGACGCTCCTCTCCTGCTCCACGACTTCAAGGCGCCGCCGCCTGCCTCTCAAGGTCTGCACCTGCATGTTTTCTTCGTTCTCTCTTCTTCCTCGCAATTCTACTCTATGTTGATCGACCTATGTCCAGGATAGTAGTGTTAGGTAGCTCTGCTGCTTGCAGTTTCTTATTCGTGCCTGGATCAACCGGAGAAAAAACCTTGTAAGCCAGCTTGTAATGACTAATTAATTAATCTTAATCAAATTAGCCTGTTTCTCGCACTGACGCGTGATGATTGGGGTTTATATAAATAAATAATAAATACTAGTACCGTATAAATTTCGTGCAAATTAAGCTGGACGGCGATAAGAAGCGACAACCAAAAGCAACGGCGGATCACGTGTGGCCGTGTGGGTTGGACGCAAGGAGCCGTCGACGGCCTTCCATCCCATCTGTCCGGGGCCCACCCACCCACCCACCCACGGGCTGGCTTAACCATGCTTAGCCGGATGCACATTTTATTATACGAACAATCGTGTGTTAATTTCCTTTCCTCCTCCTTTTTTAAAAAGATCCGTCGTTCTTTTTACTGCTCGCTGGCTACCACTGAGAAGAAATTTAAGTTACTGCGCATATATATACAGGTAATTTCCTCTTGAAGACGCACGACTTCCTGCAGCCGTTGGATCAGAAGCCGGGAGCGCCGCCGGCGGAGCCGTCGCCGCTGCCCGCTTCCGCCGCGGAGAGCAGGCACCGGCAGCAGGTGGTGCACGCGCTGCCTCTGCCCGGCGGCGTCGGCACCTTCAGCATCAGCCCCGCGCCCGTGTCGGTCGCGCTGCCGGCGCCCGCCGTCGTCAAGTCGGAGCCGCCGTTCGTGCTCTGGGGCCAGCCAGCCGCGACGCTGCAGCCGGGCGCGCGAGGTACGTTGACCACTCAGCCAGTCAGCTTGTCCTTTGAATGTTACCATCACCACCGTTTCGTCTAGCAAGCTAGCCCGTCGCGTGCGTCCATGCGCAATGCACACGCCACACGGACACGGCGCCGCGGTCGCGGCCGCAGCGCGTCGTGTGCCGTGTCGCGTCGTTACTCGTGTGCACGCATGCCGCGGGCTTGGCGTGCGTGTCTCAACAGACAAACAATGCATCAGAGAGCGAGACTCTACTGGTACCGTCGTAGGAGTACGTCTCTGGTAGAGAGAGAGAGGGAGGCATGGGCCTCGTGCTTGTACACCGGCCAGCAAGCCGGGCCCGTTCAGCTGGTCTATAAATTGTCTATGCTAATTTATATGACTAATTTATTAGAAAAAAATACCGTGTATAAACCGGCTTATAAGGGCGGACGAACCGAGCACGAGCACTTCAGCCTGTCGTGTCACGTCGCGTCCTCTCTGTGGCGAGACCCGCCCCACCACCCACCGACATGTGGGGCCGCACGGCTTCCGCCTGCGCAATTCTTCGATAACTGTTTGTTTCGTCGGAAAGAAAAAAAAAAGCTAAAGCTAAAGGCGGGCGCTTTGTGTGTTTGTTGTGTCGTGGGTCTCTTCTAACCCCCGCAGGGCACCAGCAGCAGCAGTGGGCGCTCCCCTTCGCCGGCGCCGGGCAGGTCAGGCCGCCGCCGCCGCAGCAGCAGGCGCCACCGGATAGGAAGGGCCGCAGCGGAGGCGGGGTCATGGAGTCTGGCTCCAGATCCAGCGGCGGGGCGGGGTTCGACGACGACGACGACCTCACCACGCGCCGCGAGGTCTCCTCCTCGCTCCAAGGTACCCCAATTCCGCTGAATCTCTGTGAAACTCTTCCTTCTCCGTTGCTCTTGAGTCCAGCGACGATGGGAAAACTCGTTCCTTATCTCGATTTTTGACAGTTTCCGCCCATTGTTTTTCAATCTTTTTTTTAAAGACGCCCCCGTCCTTGTACTCATCGGGGGTAGTGTTCCGTGTTCGTGTGGAAGGGATGATGAGTCCGCACGCGCTGGTGGCGACGGGCGCGGGCTGGAAGTGGCAGCCGGCCCACGTCCACCAGCTCCACGCGCACCTCCTCGTCTCTGGCCGCCTCAGCGGCACGCCTGCCCTTGCCGCGCTTGCGCTGCTGCGCGTCGCCTGCCGCGTCCGTGCGTCCCCTTGCGTCCGCCCGCTCGCCCACCTCCTGCTCGACCGAATTCCCCACCCGTCCCCGCACCTCCTCCACGCCGCAGCGCGCCTCGCCTCCCAACTCCGTCTGCCTTCCGTCGCGCTACGCCACTACCTTGCTCTCCGTGCGCGCCACCCGGCCTTCCTCCCGCCCGCCCCTGCCATCGCCGACGTGCTGAAGTGGCCTGGGGCAGCACATGCCCACGCACTACGAGTTGCGGCACACGGGGTAGACGCTCGTTTCCTTGACAACACGCTCATCGCCATGTACTTTGCCTGTGGCGACGGCTGTAGGGCACGCCAAGTATTCGAGGGAATGTCTGAACGGGATGTTGTCACATGGACTTCGCTAATATCGGGACTTGTGCGGAACGGCTGCCCGTTACAGGGGCTTCACCATTTTGCATCAATGATGCACAGTGAGGTGTGCGCCGACTTTGTGTTGCTCGTATCCGTCCTCAAAGCCAATATGGAGCTCGATGACTTTCCTGGTGCCACAGCAGCCCATGCCTTAGTGGTCAAGAGTGGCTTTGACAACGAACTAGATGTGGTGATCACTCTGACAGCCATGTATGCTAAGTTTGGGCGCATCTTGTCTGCTAGGGCACTCTTTGATAGGGTGCCAACCCCACGGGTGAACGTGGTCCTTTGGAATGCCATGATATCAGGTTACTCTAAGAATGGCCTTGCCAGTGAAGCAGTGCAACTTTTCAAGCAGATGAGGAAGGTTGCAAGGAGCTTGACCCCTGACTCTGTTACCTTGCGGTCGGTGATCCTGGCTTGTGCTCAGCTTGGACCCGTAGAACTTGCAGAATGGATGGATTGCTATGTCCAAGGCAGCGAGTACAGGGATGATGTGCTTGTTAACACAGCGCTGATTGACATGTATTCCAAGGCAGGGAACATCGCCCGTGCACAAACAGTCTTTGAACGTATGCACGTGCAGGAGCGGGATGTGGTCGTCTGGAGTGCTTTGATTGGTGGTTACGGGGTGCATGGCCATGTCAAGGAGGCTGTTGCCCTGTTCGAGGACATGAAGCATGCTGGGGTGAAACCAAATGATGTGACATTCCTGGGCCTCCTGTCAGCTTGCAAACATGCCGGTGCTGTGGAGGAAGGGTGGAGCTACTTCCATTCAATGAAACATGACTATGGAATCGAGCCCCGGCACCAGCATTATGCCTGCATAGTAGACCTGCTTGCTCGTGCTGGTCATCTTGATAGGGCTTACCGGTTTATAATGGACATGCCCATCAAGCCAGAAATGAGTGTGTGGGGTGCATTGCTTCACGATTGCAGGATGCATGAGCACTCAGACATGGCGCTGGCTGAGCATGCTGCGCAGCACATTTTTGAGCTGGAGCATTCCAACGCAGGGCATTATGTGCAGCTTGCAAACCTGTATGCATCTGCTGGGATGTGGAGCCATGTTGCTGGTCTCAGGGTCACCATGATAGAGAGGGGCGTTAGCAAGGCAACAGGGTGCAGCTCCATTGATATAAATGGAGAGATGCACTCCTTCCATGCAGGGGATCATTCACATCCTAGGGCTGCTGAGATTTTTGCCGTGCTTAATCTTCTTTCTCCAACTCCAGTTGGGGGTGGAGGTGGACAAGAATATTTTTGAATGCTCTTTTCTTCCATCGTTCTTGCTGAGGGAGCATGTGTAATGTGTTGAAGTGAGGGAAACTAGGTCATATCCCATAATTAGTTCCTTTGGTGTCCCAGCCTCATAATGGATTCTGTTGTGTATCCCTCACCATAACACAACCATGGCAGGGCACTCAAATCAACAAATGAGCATGGTATACTATGGCAATTTTGCTTCATGAAAAGATGGTGTGCAATTATCACTTTATTTTAATACGAGTAAAAAGGGTCTCACATGTCATTTTCTGCAATATTTTGTACTAATGGATAGTGTTTGCATCAACAGATTTGACAGTAAGGGTGGACAGGAAGGCTGGGAGCTGCAGCGATGGTGGTACAGATCAGCGGCCAAACACACCGCGGTCAAAACACTCGGCCACAGAGCAGCGCAGACGCAGCAAGATCAATGATAGGTGCTTTGATGCAGTAATTTTATGACCAGTTATTAGCTCGTAAATAAGTTTTCACCTCTTTATGGATTATGTTTTTATTTTACTCCACATCATTCCTACAGGTTTCAGATACTTAGGGAGCTGTTGCCACACAATGATCAAAAGAGAGACAAAGCAACATTTCTCTTGGAGGTAAGGTTTCAACAGGTTTCCTGTTTTATCGAAGTAATCTTTCGCAGTGGATTAACACATGATTCCTTTGTGCCATCCTTTCTAATGCAGGTTATTGAATATATACGGTTTTTGCAAGAGAAAGTGCAAAAATACGAGGCAACATTCCCAGAATGGAACCAAGAAAATGCAAAGATGCTTCCATGGGTAATTGCTTCTTTCTCCAAAGCTGCAATGCTTGCTACTGCTGTTAGGAAAGGAACAGTCAATTCTTGATTGTCTGTGTCTGAATGTAGTTTTACATTTTTGCAGTCAAATATGTATTTTCGATCATTCTGGAAAAATGCACAGGCAAGTGTTTGTTGCTAAAAATGCATTTGCCTTACCGAATTGTTAACGTTGTATCGATAGTTTTCAACCAACATCTTATGCATGCTTGTTATTCTTGTGCTGCAGAGTAAAGGCCAAATCCCTGGAGATTCTCCGCCTGACCCTTCACATTTCATGAGAAATGGATCCTCCCCTGGATCTAATTTCACTGGGAAACTCGATGATAATCACAACATAGTGACATCTGCAGCTGCATCAGGGGCACAGGATCAGGCAGAAACTGATCACATGGCTAGCGGGTGCTACAGATCAGCAGATACACCGGCGAATATTACAAGTATGATCAATGGTTCACATATATTTTGCATTATTCTCAGAAGTGCTTTCTGAGACTAGAAGCAGCACTGGTTACTTATGAGTCTTCTTTGTATGCAGATAATGCTATATCTCAGTCCCAACCTCAATGGACAGGTCCATCCCCTGTGGATGATTCTGCAATGAACAGGGAAATGCTTAACAACCAGCAGTTGGTGATAGATGAAGGAACGATCAGCGTGTCCAGTAACTATTCCCAAGAGTATGTCACAAAGAATATAAGTTATTTATTGCTCACTCCATTCAAATATGCTTGTCACATTTGATTATGCATAGTCGTCGGTGCATATCTTTGACCAATAATTTCTTCTGCAACATATTCTTAGAATCCTTCAAATTTATGATATTTTTGCTAGTATTTTTCAATACAATTCTACACATATAACTTGCATACTTGCAAACTAAGTAATTTAAAAGTTATTGATGTTTGTTGTTTTTAAGGTTTGACTAAATTTTGTCCTAAACAACATAGTTCTATAACCGGACATAGTACCACTTTTTTTTTTCCTGTACCCAATTGTTTTAGGCCTTAATGTCAATACCTCTCGTAGTTTTCATTCTTACTGTTAGTCTTTTTTTTTCCTTTGAGTGGGCCCAGCATTAGTTTTTCCCACCTGAAATTTCTTGCTATTTTGTTTGTACCTAGGTCCTTTCACAATATTGAGCTCAGAAAGCACTTTGTGTTTAGGCATGGGCAATTAAGGATCTGTTATCTTTGCCGAAGATGAATGTATGTTGATACATGTTCTTTTCTTTTATTTGTAACAGGTTACTTAACTCGTTGACTCACGCCCTTCAAAGCTCAGGTGTAGATTTGTCCCAAGCCAGCATCTCTGTGCAGATCAACCTGGGAAAGCGTGCTGTCAAGAGACCTGTTGCTGGTGTATCCTCCAACTCCAAGGTATAGTACCCCGACCATATGAACAGATGTTCATTTAAAGATATCATTCCAGCAAAACTGAAATTAGCTCAAGTCATTTGTACAACTCATTTTAAGTGTGAGATGGGAAATATGTGATGGCCTTTTCACAATGAAAATATGGGCCTGGTTTCTGACAATGGAAATATGTGCCTACTTAGTACTGATAGATGCATACAGACGGTGGAAGCTCTGACATACCATCAGTCCACATAGGCATGATCATTTTGCATTTTTTCATCATTCATCCACACTGATTTATGTTTTGACCTGCGACTTCAATTCTGCGCAGGAACCAACCGATCCAGCATCTAGTAACGAATTAGGCCATCAGCTGACGACAATGTTGGGTGCCGGTGCTGACGATCTCTCTCACGCAATGAAGCGGCATAAACCCGGCAACAGCTGATGACGGCTCTCACTCACCTTGCTCCGAGACGGATTGATCATTCTTTTCCTCCCAGCCAACGGGAGGCTCTTGGATTGGTTGTACATTGTGTGCTTGGTGACAAGCTGAAACCTCCGGTGTATTCTTTGATTTCATCACTCCCACCGCCATCCCCTATATTTAGTAGTCCATTGTTTTACGTAGAGAAACAAACCATGGAGCTTCCATTGCGGATTGTGAAGCCGCTCTTGTACACAGGCTTCCATTCATATGAGAAGCTTCCGCTCCTTGACAGATCTCCGTGCTGTATACCTGTAGCAGCCTGTAAGATATATGATGTCCAACAACTCTACTACCAGACCATCGGCTAGTCAAGTTGTTCCGCTATTTATGTACGGTGTTCCGGTATGATGGGAGTGTAATTGCGTCGCCGTCTCAGTGAACTGATCGTCGGTCGTGCTCGTTTGTTTGTTTGTCCAACGGTTTATGTGGCGATGTGTGCGAATTTGTGGACGGATCCCGTCACCGTGCTCCAGTTCTGCCTCCCCGGCGGTCAGCGAGTTGACCGACCATCTACATCCGTCTCGGTGCTGGCGGATGGGCGTCGGCACCGGCTAGGACAGCGGGTGGCGTGGCCTGATGGTCGTCGGACGTCACGACGGTGGACGGACGGCGGCGGCGGGGGAGGCGGAGATCGATGGAGTCCGAGATACGATCACGTCACTAATGCCATCGTTGTGCCACCTTGACTATGTGATGGGTTGACTCTGTGCCCGTGTGAGGACGGTGTCACGGTGACCAAGCGAGGATAGACTAGCTCTGTGGCTGCGGCGCGGTGCAATATACCACCAGGTCTTTTAATTTAGTCGTCACGCACTATCGTAGTGCGACCAAGCAATCCATCACTAGTGTAGTACTTTACTGCGATACACCGGAGAGTTGGTTATAGTGATCGATCACTAATGGTAATGCCAACTGGATGGATTTGGTGCAGTGACGGATCTAGGATTTTAATGATGGGGGTACAGACCTAAATAACTAATTCACTAACAATATAATATGACAACCAAATGACAATAAAATAGTTAGGTAGACTAATCTAAAGATACAATTTACTAAGGTTTATCTAGGAGTATACAAAGGTAGTTATTGTCAAAGTCTCTGTAAGCATATTAGTTTCTCGCTGATTCGGAGTGGGAAGAAATCTTGTGCGCTATATCGAGTAAGTACATAAAAAAGCTAGATCATTGTTTCTCGTGCCATGATGTTCTAGAAAAATAAATTTATTATTTATCAAGTAATGTACAGACGAATTTTCCTAAAACATCGTTTGGTTATTAAACAAAATCAAGACCCAAACTTACAAATTAAAATTATTACGATGGTATGGAAGGAAAAGGAGTCAATTTTTTTTTAAAAAACTGATTAATTCGTTGTCATTTTTATCTTATACTTGTGTCATGTGTATTGAATCATCTTGGGCTCCCGGGCTATAGAAGAAAGAGTGCTAGTACAGGTCTACAAGCTATTTCCCTCGTGGATGGACACTTGAGCTTAAAATATTGCTACTATATATATATATATATATACAGCTGTACCCCCATGCGCCTATACTTGATTTGGTGGACTCTAGCACGCCTGAGACAGAGACACGCGACCTTGCGAGTATAGCATCTGGTAAAGCCAACTATGCGTCCAACCCCGTCGCGATCGTGCGCCGCTCGATCGGCACTACCAAAACTGCGCGGCGAGCGGCAGGGCCCGGATGGCCGGATGGGGATGGAGATGGGGGCCCGTCGCCGCGCACGCCGGCCATGACGGACCGAACTCGCACGCCGGCGTGGCATGCAGGCCACCACAGCGGGTGAGCGGCACAAGGCGATCGCGCGTTCTGATGCTGGTACGCCAACTCTCGTTGCTCATGCCTCATGGTACGAGTGCCGTGCCACCACAAAATTCTCTGCGTCCGATGTTGGGCACGGACCGATGGTTATCGTTCCGTTCCGACGCTAACGAACGTTGACGACGACGGCACACGTACTACCAGTACCAGTACGGGCTCCGCTGCTGCACGTGTGCTGTTGCGTGCACACACACCGGTGGCTTGAATCGGAAGGCGTACTACTGCATCGGTTGCGTTGCGTGGCTTCAGGAAGACGATGACGGCTTCCATTCCAAGGGCAGCTTGTCAAAGTTGCGTCACATGCTAGCTCATGTACTTGCCATGTACTCCTCTTAAGTAGCAGTTATTGGGGTTCAAGTCAGCGTAGTGAGTTAAGGAAGTCCTAACGTCCCTGTACAGATACAGCTCGAGGAGAAACAGGAGGGTTGCAGTACATTTCAGGAACAAACATCACGGATGCAACTCAAACCTCCGTCTCAAAGTCAATCACCACATTGTAATTTTGTAACACTGGAACAACTTTTCACTAATGTCGGTGTGTGTTTGCATCACATGGATGAGCATGACCGATTCGATGTCAGAGATAAAATTTACCCCTCTTTAACCAATCTCAATTCTATTATCTTCATCTGTACAAACAACAACAAAAAAGGTCCGTTTATTCTGAACAAAAAAAGAATCGGTGAATCATTTCATGAATCTGTATCTAACCTAACCGAAGGAGGAGGTCCTTCATCTCATATATGCTTGCTCATCAGAACAAACGAGGCGCCTCCGTTTATTGCCAACTCAACATGCATGCACAGCGTAATCCTTGCCAATCCTGTAGAGTGTGTGGTTCTGAATTCTGAAAGGCCGCGCATTCACTGTGCTGCGGGTATCACAAGACTGAAATATCTTCTGCGGGCAAACACTCGTGTGGGTTCGCATAGAAGTAATCCTCTTCCTTGGGTTTGTCGGGAATCATCTGCCTCCTAGACGGTTCGCCCATGCGGCTGATATGTGACGCCTTGACAGCAGAGGAGAAATCAGTCCAGCTCAATGTGCCATTTCTGTACTCATCGACAAGCTCGACAATGTGCTCCTCCGATCTAGTAGTACCGTCTTCTTGAATCCCAAGTATCTGTGCCCACAAGAATAATAAGACATGTTCCCATCAGCAGTTCAAAAGCAGGAGGATTCATCAAGACAAAAGATCGTGACACTTCAGTTTGACCATATGAAAGTAACTACAGTATTACCTAGAATGCCAAAAGGTAAAACTATGCACACAGGGTCATTCTTCACTCCACAAGATTCTATTCTCACAAGGATCCGAGCATTTGATTATGTTACTATATATGTGATAGTATAGTATAGCATAGCTAAGGAAAAATTCCATAGCATGAACGAAATTTGCTTGTACATAAAATTGTCAAGCACAGTGTCAGCTTGCAAGGATAACCACGCGGCCACACCTGAGTTTTTTTACTGACAAATTACTATTAGGATGTGGCAAAGTACCTCCGATGACCTTCTACAACTTTTGCCATGTTACCATCATAAGTGGGTATGAAAATATCACTCTCCAAGGATACCATATAATCCAGTGCTGCCATCTGGGAAGAATGGTTCTGGAAAAGACTGAGTTCTGAAGGCAATAATGTCTCTTTTCTAACCTGATCATCACAATTCACAATAGTAAATAATTTTAGGAACTCAATCATAAGAATGCAGTAATAGCATCAAAGATGATGAACTGACCACATTGGGATAAGCCAAGGTAAGAGCAGCCATTCTTCTTTGCCCACCATACATTTCACCTGCAGCAATGTAAATTTGATAACTGCGATCAATTCCGAGTGCCTGCAACACCAGTGCAGTCTCCTCCGGTGTTAAAGGACAGAGCCCGTCTTTCCTCTTGGCATCAGAGTCAATCACTTTCTCCTTCCACCATGGGTAGGCATATCTGCCAAGATCAAAATACAAATATTTTTTTACAATAGATTATAAAAACTGCTCGAGAAAATTTTGGGGGAGATAAAAAAGGATGTAATACCTCATTTTCGTGAGCTCTTCAGCCTCCATGTTGCTGCAACCATGTGTGCATCCAGAGAAGGCAAGCATGTCCATCTCATACCGTAAGTGAAGAACTACAAAGGGACCATTCTGGCGAAGAACTTGAACCAAACGTCTGCCCAGATTTTCTATTTCAGGGGTAAATCTCAAAGCATTGTAATTGACACGACACCTTAGTTTCTGAATTTCCATGGGTAAGCCATTATTTGCAAGGCGAGCATCTGTCCTGTTTAGGTGAATGACCTTGTACTTCTTTATCAGAGGTAGAATCTGTTTTCCCCAAATAAACACTAACAATCTTCACCTGGTTTCGGATATAGTTTCAGCTCATGATGTCGCATTAGCGAAAAAGGAAGATGCAATCAAACCTGATGATGGTAATAGGCGATATCAGACCAACTGACTGGCGGCAGGGACCTAAGAAATCCCATTTCCACTCTTCTTTTAAGCCTTGGAGGCAGTTGTCTCAGAATTCGGACCTCGTCTCTTAGTGATGCTATGAAGTAGTCCACATCAAATATATCTTGAAAATCACTGGAAAAGAAGCGTCAGAATAAATTGAAGGCAAATGATTCTTTTTGGAAAGGGGACAGAAAAGTGGATTGGTATAGAAAGAAAATATCACCTGGGATCAGCCCAAAATGAAGCTTTATCCAGCTCTGGTACGATAAGAGTAACGTTCAGATACCTTGCAATCGTTACCATATCACAAATCTGTCACAACAAAAAATGAAGAAAAGGTGTAACTTTGAGGCTGAAGTTTTAGTATTTGACAACCGGTCAAAATTCAGGAATAAAAACTGTGGTAGATGTATGCTCGGTTTGATACACAGAAAGCTTAACAATGCAGAAATTCAGAAATATAACTTGTGACAGTTGTATTTAGATTTCGATACACAGTGCTTACTGCTGCTCGCATCTGGTTAAGCCCACCGTTGCAGGAGACCATCAGATAGCCATTGTTCTTGTAGATTCCTGAACATAGTATTGATCAAATCAAACGATTGGCCATGCTACTTATTGGTGCCTTGACATAAGACGTAGATAGAGGAACTCATGA